GAGGCCTCATTTAGTTGTATCATTTCCTTCAGCTCGTCCGGATCTTTTGTCGTCTGCGAAACCCAGATGGCTGAGGTATGATCCGTCGATTTTGATGTCCTTTTGTTGCCAATTCCTCTTTTTAAAGATTTGCTCCAATGACATGATAAACAGTTTTGGTGATACGGTATCCCCTTGACGCACCCCTCTGCTTAGTTTTATTTTGGCAGTATTTGTGCTGTCGTCGATCTTAATAACGTGCATTGTGGCATTACTATAGGTATATATCTCTTTATCTTTAATAACTGCATTATATCTTGAGTCGATTCTGGCGTTGTTCATGTTATTTAAAAATGACCATGTTTCGATTGAGTCAAATGCATTATGAAAGTAGTCAGCAAATGCAGGTATGTCGGAACATTAGATTCATTTGCCTATTCTATGCGTACGTAGTGTTTGTAGGTGGTCTGTTGTGCTGAAATTCGCTGTAAAACTCTGCTTGCTTGGCTGGCTGGTAAAAATCTAACTTGAAATTTATATAGGGAGATGGTTCGTGAGGATTTTTGTGAAAAGCTTGTACAGATATGATAGTAGACTTATGGGACGGTAGTTCACGATGTTACTAGTATCGCACTTTTCGAATAGAAGCACATCAGCATTGTACCATTCGGCATATAGTTTTGCCTCTGTAGGCATTTATTTATTAGTGTTTGGAGTGCTTTTATCAAATTTTTTCCTCCCAGCTTCATCATTTCTGAACTTCTGAAGTAATATAATCTTCCCATGGACCTTCCTTGCCCGGAAATGTCTTTTTCCTGTCAGTGCAGAGACAAGCTCTTACCATTCTATGGTCACTTTTCGTCAATTTTCGTGTCTACTCGACTAAAGACTGATACATCGCTACACTATTTTTTGATAAAATAAAGTCGACCGCGTGTTTTGCGTTGAGAAGGTTTATCGAAAAATGTCTTTAGACAAAAAGGATTCTCATTTCTTTCGCGTATAGGTACTAGTATACGTTGTATTCTGAGTCATCCTGTTCCCTTTTTTCAACCTTAGCGTTGAGATTGCCTGTGATGACTACAAAGTGTGACTTTTCCATTCTTTTTGTTGTTGTTATGTCTTCGTAAAGTTGTTTTATCTCTCCATCATCTGCATTTCTTGTTGCGGCGTAAATGCTGATTATTTTGCATAGATCGCTTGTTTAACTAAAGTATGATATGGATGACTAGATCAGACATAGTTCGTTATTCTTTGTTTCGCGGTTTTATTGATCAGGAATCCGATCCTACCGAGGTAGTGGTTGTTACCGGAGTTTTTCTGATATAGGTAATATTTATTGCCAGTCTTTAGGGTTGGTTTTTTTTCTCCAGCCAGGCAGTCCTGTTCCAGACAAACCATTATATCCAGTGATGTCTCATTTTATGTTTTCCAATTCCTGTTCTAGTTTTTCAAGGTCTTCGTCTTTCCGCGTTGTGTGTACCTAACCTATATCTATTGTGGACTGCAATAAATATTTTTTCTATTTGCGTGCGCAAAGTAATCACTTTGCACACTCATTTGCTTGCGCAAAGTTGAACTTTGCGCACGGAAACTCTTTGCGCACTCATTTTTGTTACGCATAATTAGGTACCATAGTTATACTTGATTTTTCAATGTTTTGATGGTTTCTGAATAAACTAATATTCAAAATGAAAGCTTTTAATTGAAATTAACGCTTAGTTAACATGATGTTTCCTATCAAAGGTGTCCAAATTGGACCAGTCTGTACATTTTGAGGAATTCCAACAGATTTTAAATAATTTTTGAAGATTTTGATTTGATTGATTTTTCTAATATTTTAAGAATTCAGTCTACTTTTTTCAGATACTCGTAGAAAAAATATTGTTCCTAAGACTTGCGCAAAGTGTCTTTCCCGCACTCAAAGCTTATCCGAACTCCGCTTCGCGTCGTTCGTCTAACTGCTTTTTCGTGCGGGAAAGTATCACTTTGCGCACTTGTTAGGAAAATAACTATTGTCATTAATGAGAATTTAGCCATTTTTTCAAGAGTGAGTATTTTTTGTTTTGTATAGCCTGATTGATAATAATTCTCAGATTTTCTCATTTCAAGAAATTGCTATAAATTTAACCCATCCGTCTTGTTTAACTAGAAATCAGAAACATGAACACTTCGCAAACTGTTTTCCGACTAATATAGATTGGCTAGTTTGGATTTTAGTTAAATCGTTATAACATTTCAGTTCATTACAATGTTAATTTGATAGAAATGTCTCTATTTATCCAATAATGGTTACCTGCTGGAGACAAACCAAATACCTGAATCTGAATGCATAATTTACTGCTTCATTTACTTCCTCCATCAAATCATGTTTAATTAAAATTTGACAGTAATTGCTGCTACAGGGTTAACATATCTGACGTTTCATAATTGTGCCTGATAATAAAGCTTACAGTTAAAGTATGCATTAATTAAATCTATCGATTTTATATAATTATAAATAAATTACTCTAGCATGTTTGCCATTATTTTACGAGCAAGAGCGACATACTAGAACAGGCCGATTCTAGAATGATTATCTCTTTAGTCAAATTTGTCCCTATGCAATAAATTATTTTTTGGTGAAACAATTTTTTTTTCAGTTTACTTCGACAAAAGCCCAGAATTTTGGATTGAAAACTTTTCGTGCTAAATTATTTTCAAAACCAACAATCTATCATCACAATACTTAATGGTTAAAATAAAACTTCTTGGGGCATGTACGCTTTTTTTATGCCTCTGCCCATTTTCCCCACTATCAGAGAAAGACTCACACTTTTTTCATAAATTTATAACCTGATCCTTGATGCAAAATCTCATAATTCACCCTTTCTTCGTTTAAATGTATCTATGCATTGACAAAATTGTTTCTTTATCCTCAAAAACCCTATTCCTGAGTCAAAACTTTGAATTGCACAACAAAAGACGCTTGCATACTGAAAACTTTAACAAACACTTGAGAAACTGGAGCTGGAAACTTTTAACAATGGTAACGGATGCAATTTCCAACAGCCTATTTCACGGGCAACTATTTATTTTGGTCTCATTTTAGAAACTTTTGTTCATAGTTATTCTTTGTGCAGGTGTTTCGTTTCTTATTAAAGTCAGTTAGATATCTCCGTCAACGTTGGAGTTAAAAATCAACACAAATTTCTGTACTTACAAAAAATTTGATTGATAAATTTACAATTCTCGAATCCGAATCGGATTAGCTAAAATACACCTGAAATTTATGCGTACTCATCAATCATCAATGCTCCGTCATTTACCGCGACACACACCACATTCGTACTAAATATTACATTTGCGTTTACTAATTAGACATATGAGAATTTATGCCACTATTAGGTATGTCTATAGCTTCATTTGCGAGTAGCGTCTCGTCATTTTGACTGAAAAGCAATTTACTATCCAGCAAGTGAATGGACTGTATTATAGAAACGGATTTATGGAAAAACATTGATACAGGACTGCTAACATTTGAAGAATAATATGAATAGGTATGTATAATTGTAAAATGGAGCTAAACAAATAATATGAATCTCATTAAATAGAAAATAGAGAACAACTAAGAGGATCTGCCCGGCTTTAAATAAGGTGATTATTAGACGTTTTTCGAATAACTAAATTACCAGATGTTCAACCAACCAGATGTTCAATACAACAATATACTATTTTTTACAAAATATGGCTGTCAGTCTAAATTTTTGATGTTGAAAATATGATATTGACAATATACAATAGTACTAGCGGTTAGTCTCAAAAAAGGGCGATATTTGGCAAATTTGTCTAAAAGCACCAAATTTCACAGGGACGTTTTTTAGATCACTGTGACTCAAAATGGCGACGATTTTTCAAAATGGCGGACTATAAATCGACAATACTTATTTACCAACGGGTTTAAACGTTCAACATGTCATTTCTAACTAATTTTGGGACGCAGATTCCATTATAAATACTAGTTTTTACATTATCATTCAAGTTCATATAAAAAAGCTATACAGGGTTGTCAAAAAACTTTTAAAAAATATTCAAAATGCGTATGAAATTGTTTTTTTGTTAATTTTATGTTTCGCTGTTTCAAATTCACGGTGAAACTGTCGACATACCTATACATAAATTTAATAGTCATAAACAGATTGATCATGAAATAACGTAGTTAAAATTTGAAGGTGCATAATGATTATGTGTTACAGGTAAACCCCGAATACCTAGATAATGTTATGTTTATTCAGTCTAATAATTTTGTTTCAGGGATGTTTAGGATTTTAAGTTTATTGTTAGGGTTTGGTTAGGCTTGTTTAGGGGTATGTTTATGTTTTAAACAAAAATAAACAGACCCAAACAAACCTGGGTAATTCTATATTACCCAATGTAAGGGTTTTACCCGTAACATAATTGTTACACTTATAACTTTTTCTCTATAACAACAATTCAAAAATATACAAAGAGAATCTCTCTAAAAAATATTAGTAGCACACCCCCAACATCATTCCACCTTCTCCGCGCCCCTCACTCTAGCGCGGAAATTCAAAACCAAGCTCTGTGCATTCTGCGTCTGCGTCTCTCTCTGAAAACAAAAGCAAATTATTTGTACTTTTGTCTAAAGGTCTAGTGGAAGAAGGAAACTCGAAAGCTGTCACAAATATTGGTGGTGTTATGGCTTTCAAAAATATTTTGTCTGAACTATCTAAAAAATCGTGCCAAAATTGGGAGGAGAAAGTCGGGCGAATTTTGCTACATGTATCAGACATGGCCAGGAGTGGAGCCAGAAAGGTCATAGTTCGAACAGTCGATACTAATGTTGTGGTATTGTGTATTTCATTCATATAGCAGCTCCAAGCTATGGGTTTAGAAGAACTGTGGTGGATTTTATTTGGGTCTGGGAAAAAACGAAGATACATTGCAACCCACAACATCGCTAATGAACTAGGTACGGAGAAATGTATGGGCTTAAGAGGCTTTCGTGCGTATACTGGGTGCGACAGTGTATCCATTTTCAGTGGAAAAGGCAAGAAAGGAGCATGGAAAACATAGATGACATGTGAGTCGGCAACCGAAGCCTTTAAGTTTATATCTTTGCCAAACGACCACATTCCATGTCACATAGTGCCTGAATTGGAAGAGTTTATTTCGAAGCTATACTCGGCAACCTCAGAACATCGAAAAGTTAATCAGTTACGGAAACAGCTCTTCTGCACTGGAAATAGACCCTTACATCTGATTCCACCTAGCTCAGCTACACTCGCAGAACACTGTCTCCGAGCCGCATATCAAGCATGCCAAATCTGGGTTAGATCGTTAGATATGCTTCAATGTGCTCCCCTTCTCCAGGCTCTTGGAGTTGGACCAAACAATATGAAATGTGGGAACCGGTTTGGTCAAAACTGACTTCCATATGGACAGCATGCAGGTAGTTGAAAAAGTGTGGCTGCAAGTCTGGCTGTGATTCCCAACGTTGTTCATGTCGACGCACAGGATTACCTTGCACACTTCAGTGCAAATGCAATGATGCATGTTTAAACAAGAGGTAGGTAATTGACTAGGTTGGAAATTTTTAAAACATATACGGGTTACTCCTTTTTAGTGAAAATCATGAAGAACCTTCAGAATGATATCACGAAAAATAACTAGACTGAGGGTCTCCATATTCTAGGTACTTTTTAACGACCCTGTACACTAGTTTTTAATAAACTCTCAACAGAATCAAAAACAAATTTAATTTAATTGAATAACACGACGCAAAATTAGTCGAAACCGACATATTAGACACTAATAAGAGCTTTTCAAAAAAAAAGATTATCAATTTATGGTACGCCATTTTGAAAAATGGCCGCCATGTTGACGAAAACAAAAAAATAATATCTTTATTGAATTCTACGACCCACACTTAGTCGAAAAAGACATCTTGAACACTAAAATCTGTTGACAAATTATAGTTGCCAATTTATGGTCCGCCATTTAAAAAAAAAGGCGCCATTTTGATCATAATGGAAAAACTAAATTTTTTATGACCTCTACGACCCAAAATTAGTCGAAAACGACATATCGAATGCTAGAATTTGTTGAGAAATGAGAAATACCAATTTATGATCCGCCATTTTGAAAAAAAGGCGCCATATTGAGTCACAGTCAAAAATTGGGCTGGCCCTCCGGGTCAATTCTCTTAGAATAGCCTAAAATACATCTCTGCCAAATTTCATGCTTCTAGACAAAGCCAAATGGTTTGGACTAACCGCAAGACTCTAGTATTACTTTGCACACATTAAAATGTGCTTCATTTATATACGTCTGGAGCAGTTATTGGATTCGCGATTCGCGTATATATACGTTTAGAGCAGCTAAAAGGTTAAAGGTTAAAGTCTACAGTACCTAATGTGTCAGTCCGAGTAAAATTCGCGAAAGTTTCTTTTAAGGCCTCGGAAAACGCGTTTGATGTAACTTAGAAAAAGTACGAAAAATTGTGAAAGAAAGAATCTTTAGTCGTTCAACATTATGTGCGTGCTCTAGAGATTTTTTGTAAAGTAAATTAAATTAAGTAATTTTGCAAAAAGTTAAATGTAAGTACTTTAGTGATTATTATTTTTCTGACTTTTAACAATGATTCTGAATGATAAGAAGTGAATTACTTTTAATGCCTAAAAACTTAAGTGATTTTGACTAGTAAAACTTTTGGACTTTATAAATGATGAATGACTATGAAGTGAATTAACTTTGGAACTTTATTGCATAAAGTATCGATTTTGAGTAGGAATTATTAAAGAATTTTGAATTGTATTGTCCAAATTGAAGTTTAAGGGCTATAGTAACGAGTAACGAATCTAATAAGAATTAAATAATTGTCTTTGTTGGCTAGGAATTCGAAAATAGTAATTGTTCCGATTTAAATAAACCATTATATGTAAATGGGTTTCGAAATGAAATTTGTTGTTCATGAACAAACATTGATAATCTCAATTGCTGAAATTTTGAATTAGGGTTTTTATTTTTCATGTAGAAATTATTGTAAGGTTTTTTTATGAATAAGTTAGTAATACCTATATTAATAAACAAATAATTATTTTAATTTTGCATAAGCAGTCAGTAAAGGACTTGGGAATTTTTAAGAATTTATAGATATAGGTGAAGGGTAGTTTAATAGGAATGAATCGGAAGTGTTGAAATGTATAAACGTATAAGTTATTGAGAATAGTAGAAGTAGGGCGTTTTTCTTTTATGGATATTTCCTGGTCCGTATTAATGACATTTGAACGGATGTGAAATAATTTGAATTGGGAAAATTAGAAGTGGCTGTCAGAATTGAAAGATATTTTGCTTACATAAATTTTTGATTTTATGTATAATAAAATATAATTTAGTAAACCTCAATAGTTTGTTTCTCTCTTTTGCGAATAGACCCTCCACAATTTAATTTATAGGTAGCAGCTCCAAGGCAATGAACACCATCAATATACAGCTCGCCATTTACCATCTAACTAATTAAATAGAGTACTTGGGGCGTTTTGCTACACTAATATGAATAAGGAAGAGAGTTTAATATTTTATATTTTCTGAAAAAAAAAATATTGGCAATGGGCTCTACTCTTCAATTTTAGAGAATATCGGATGTCTCATCTTTTTTGTTATTTAAAGATAATATGCTCAAATCGAGTCGCATAGCACGTGGGTACACCAGAATGAAAGTTGACAAGTTATTCCTTGAAAACTATCCTTATCGCAGAGCAAGCGGAAATTATTTTTTTGGGTATAGAATCGACAGGTAGTTGTCCATAATAATGCCCAAAAATTTTACATAATCAAGGACGTCAATAATAGAGTGTTATTAAGATACTACTTCTATATGACAGAACTTTAGTTTTCGCAGTCTTGAAGCAGAGAAGGTCAAAGTCGCACCATGACTTAATGGCAAACAAGTCGTTGGACATGGTTCTATGGAGAGCTACAATATCCGGGTTTTTTCAAGTGAAACTAGTATCATCAGCAAAAGGACAGATTTTACCGCTGATGTCTGGACTAGCAATATCGGAACAGCAAAAATAATATTGAATTGGACCCAACACAGAACCCTAAGGAACTCCACATTCTATATTGGCTTGCATGAAGACATCATCGTCGTATTAGCCCTCACATTCCTCACATTGTTTTCTGTTGTTAAGATACGACTTGACCAATTCCAGAGGAGAGCCTCGGAAAACTGCAATTTGTTTATAAGGACATATTATGACTCACATTCGAATGGTTAAGAAAAACCACAGGAAATTGATGCTGTATAGAGTGCAGATTGTTCGAGCTGGGAGAAGTCATTATTGAACACAGAGAACATAGTATCAATTATAAAGCATGTTACCCACATATTAAATTGCTGCCTAAAAATAGGATATTTTCCACAATGTTTGAAAAAATCAGTGGTTACTCCAGTCTCCAAAGTGAAAAATCCTGTTAATTTCTACCGGTTTTGTCTAAGGTTTTGGGAAGGGTTGTCCAAGTACAAGCTTCAAATTTTCTGAAGAATAACAGTTTGGTTCCAATCTGGTTTCATAGAAGGCCGTAGCACAACATCGGTTTTATTCAATATCACCCACAATATTGTCAGAGCGCTAGATGAAAAACAAGCATCCATACTAATGCTTCTGGACTATACAAAAGCCTTTGACCGGATCGACCATAACCTAGCTGTTGTGTGCCAAAGCCAAACTGTCTTTTTATGGGTTCGATGAGATTTCTACTTCATTCTTTAGGTCCTTTATTATTTATATGATAGATCCCATAAGTTGTGCGAATTAAAGATAGTCTCTCACATCCTCGAGCTGTAATTTCTGGAATTTTCTAGTGGTCCATTCTTGGTCCCCTGCTTTTTGTTATCTATATAATACTGATATCTTCTCGGTGGTTTCAAACTCTCATTTGGAAGAATATGCTAACGACATGCAGCTTCTATTAAATTTTGTTCCCTTATACCCTGAAAATGCTGTAATGGAGTTAAACCAGGACTTGGAGAGAGTTGTGAAGTTTTCCACAGAGCATAAACCTTAATAATAACCCTAAAAAGACAGAGGTTCTCCTTTTTTGCTCGGAAAGACTACGGGACTCTCTGACTGATCGTTTGAGAATACAGATTGGCACTGATGCTCTCGGTTTGTCAAACTGTGCCAAAAATCTGGGATTACACCTGTATGTTCATCTAAGGTTCCATAAACATGTAGAAAGTTTGCTGCAAAATAGTTACATGAAGATGAAGCTCCTATATACAAGCAGAGATATATTCTTAATTTTAAAATGAGAAAAAAATCATGTAAAGCACTTGTATTATTATTTTCAACTATTGTTTTATAGTCTACTATCCATTTCTAGATTTAGTCACCAAAAAAAGAATCCAATATGTAGGTACAAAATACATGTTGTAGATTTGTTTTTAGTTTAGGGAAATATGATTCTGTGTCAGTTATTATTAAACGGATTGGTTGGCTGAAATGTGATAATAGATTTTCAGTGGCATGAGCCCTGCATAATATACACACATAAAGAGTCTATTTCGAAGAGGGTTGCATTGAACCAACTCTATGGTGAAGTCTGGGACATTCAAAACAACCCACATAACAAAATTGCATCCTTAGAATGTACTGAGAATGTTCTTTTTTTAGGAGGAATGTGCCTAGAATGTTCGCCAAAACCATTGCGAATGTCCTGAGAATGTTCTGAGAAAATATTGTAGAAATACTGTTTACAATACCCAAGAACTTCCTGGGAAATCCATTAGGATATTTCTAGAATATACCTATGAGATTCCCAGTACATCCTGAAAAAAATATTCCTGTTTTGATTCTAAAAATATGCTTGAAATGTATATTCTCAGATTCAAAGAATGTTTCTATGACATTATAGTTATGTTCTCAAAAGAATATTATACCAATATGCTTGAAATATTTTTAGAATATATCTGCATATATCATTCTCAATATGCATCCTAGACATAACATTCTTGTTTGATTCCAGGGACATACTTGGAATGTTAATTTTCGCACCCAACCAAATATTGCTCCTTTCAGTCCTTTTATATTAAAGACAGAGTTGTTGGGAAATTTCTCTGGAAAACACAAGTGTTTAACCAAAGCTCCGGTTTCGAAATATTATGCTCTCGTCGCGGTGAGCACGCCAACTGAGAGAAACAGGTTCCAAGGTGATTCAAGCGCGAGGCAAGATGTAGAGTATTAATAGTGCTTGGCTCCCTCTCTTGGAAGTCCTTCAAAGCAAAAGAAAAAGAACATACCTATAATATTTTTAGTAGGTCCTAGATAGAGCATTATTGTTTAATTGTTCAATTAAGATTTTTGAGTAGGTACTTTAAATAATTAGGTGAACAATATGGAATTATTCTTATCATGGGTACCTTCCCACAAACTTCTCAGCACAACTTGGTAGGTATATTCTTGATACTTGATAGAGATATTAGCCGAAAGAACATTCTTTAGGGTACATTTTAATAATGTTCGTATAACAATATTCAGATAATGTTATATAAAGTAGGTTCTTAGCACAATTTTTCAGGTAGGTGCATAGAAGAAACATTCCTAGTACATACATAGAACGTCCAAAAATGAATATTTCAATCGTAACAATCAGAATATTCATTAAACATTCCTAAAAGAACATTCCAAAAAGCTCTTTGAGAGAATATTCTGAGAATATGAATGTTCTTTCACTGTTATGTGGGAATCTGTGCCCAGACATATGAACAAATCATGCAAGGCAAGAGTCAACTCTGGAACTATTATTTCAACTTTGATATTTTTTCATTTACAGTTTCATTCTCGTTTGCAACTGATTAAGAAATTTCTATTTTTTTTTTATTTCAAATTTATTTAGAGAGTAGGTATAAACAGCCTATATACATAACATCATTACATTCGATACAACAATAATTAAAAATTAAAATGTCTTAATTAGCTATGACAAATTTTCCATTTTGCAGCTTATCAATGTAATCTTTCCGGGCCTCTATTTCATCTGCGGGTCGGTTATGAGGTGTCCATACTGGTTCACCGACAAAGAATCTTTTAGCAACAATATATTTCTGAAAAATAAATAATTAATTATAATCTAGCCAAATGTAAATAAAAGCATCCTTACGTTGTCATCAACAGTAAATCGATGATAAATACCGGCGGGTATAATTAGCAAATCTCCAGGATCCACTCGTACTCTAATCCAATCATCTCCTTTGTCTCTGACATCAAAATAACCAGCCCCCTCGACACAAAGGCGAATTTCTTCGTCTGTATGCAAATGTTCAGTGTAAAATATTTTTAGTTTTTTCTCAAATTCTTCTAACTTGTCTGGAGTCGGTCTAATTGTTACTTGGTCTTCATAGGTGTAGCCTCTTTGGGTTTTCAGTTTTTCCAGGATGCCGTCAGAGTCTAGAGAGGCAAGGTTTAACTAATAAAGAGAATTAAATTCAGTGTAATTGTGATATTAAAATAAAATGAAACTGGTAAATCATATAAGTCCTAATGTGTATGCATTGGTGAGTGAATGTTCAACATATGCTTCCGCTATAGTCATACTAGAGAAAGCTTACATTAAACCTAAAAATGAGGTCTATGCTAGACATATATTAGCGACCAGCAACTAGCTTCCGACCAATATCTACAATCCTTAAACCTTTTAGCTACTGAATGTAATTTTCAAGCTGTTACTGCAGAAGATCAAAAAAATGGCTACATCAGGGATGCTTTTATAAAAGGCCTAAACAATTCCTCTATACGCACTCGATTGCTTGAAAATACAACCCTTAGTCTCAATGAGGATCATAATCAAGCTCAATCTTTAGAAATGGCTGAAATTCACTCACAAAGCTTCATACAAAATTCTATCAATGCAACTTCAATTGTTGATTATACTTCAAATTCTAAGTCAGATCATTCAAATCAAATCTTAGCTACTTCTACCAAGAATCTAGCGAAATGTTGGTTTTGTGGAGGATCACGTCATCTTTGTCCAGTTTCAGATGCTACTTGTCAAAAATGTTCCAAGAAAGGACATTTCGCCAGAGTTTGTAACAGTAAAAAGCATGCCACTAGGACAACATCAGCTTCCATCGTTACTGCAATTATCGAGACTGCAGCTTCGACACAAGGACTTGGAAAAGCTACAATTGATGCAAAAATTTGTTGACAACCAGTTAAAGCTTTTATTGACACAGGAAGTACATCAAGTTTCATAAATGTTTCTCTTCTTGAGCAACTTAAGATTCAACAAATTCCTGCTCAGCAATGAGTGAATATGGCGTCAATATCATTAGTCTCTCAAGTTGAAGGAATTGTACTGTGTCACTACAAACAAATACCCATACATATGAAAACTTATTACTGGTTACGGAAAATCTTTGTTCAAATATTATATTGGATATTGGGACACGATTTTCTACATCATCATTCTAAACCTAAGATGTCATTCAATGGAAATCTAGATACTTTGAAAGTATGCGTTTTGATGCAAGCAGATATTACTCCTGCATCTCTATCATTGAAAAAAGTAATTCGCCTTGGAGAGCTCAAGCTTTAGTCAGTTCCAAGTACAAATCATAAGAGACGCATGGTAATCAACTATGCCCAGACTATAAACAAATTCACTGAACTATGCATATCCACTTCCAAACATAGAAGACAAAAGTGTCAAGGTACCAAGTTTTCAGCACTATAGATCTAAAGAGTGCATATCACCAAATTCCAATTCTCGAACATGAAAAACCTTATACAGCGTTTGAGGCGTGCTGCGAACAATATCAATTCACGAGAATTCCTTTTGGTGTTACCAATGGAGTTGCTAGTTTTCAAAGAGTTGTTGACAGTATAATCAAGAAAGAAAATCTTCAAAGTACCCACATATGCCTAACTTCATGATATCACAGTAGGTGGTAAGACTCAAGAAGAACATGACAAAAATCTTCAAAAATAATTTAAAGTATAAACTTACTATAAACTCTACTAAATCAAAGTACGGGCTTAGAAAAATAAATCTCCTAGGATATGAACTTGAAAATCAACAAATCAAATCTGATCCTGATCGACTTCGTCCATTCTTAGAATTGTCTCCACAGGAGATTATTCTTCATTTAAACGAGTACTGCGAAGGTTTTCCCATTATGGGAAATGGATTCCAAGATTTTCGAATAAAATCAGACCACTCGTACAAACACAATAATTTCCTATGTCACAATACAGTAGAAACAGACGCATCAGACTATGCTATTGGAAGTTGCTTATCACAAAATGGAGTTCCTATAGCATTTTTCTCAAGGACACTGTCGGAAAGCGAAAAACGTCATTCGTCAGTCGAAAAGGAAGCCTATGCTATAGTTGAATCGCTTCGAAAATGGAGACATTATTTAATCGAACGACCTTTTCGACTAATAACAGATCAACGCTCTGTTTCTTTTATGTTTGATGATAAGCATGCAGGAAAAATAAAAAATGATAAAATACAACAATGGCGGTTGGAATTAGCCTGTTACAAATATGACATTGTATATAGACCAGGAAGAGAAAACATAATGGCTGATGCTTTATCAAGGGTTTGTGCCGTTACAAATACTAAAGAAGAACAACAGAAACTGTTAAATCTGCACTACAGTCTATGTCATCCAGGTGTCACGAGAATGATTTATTGGGTTCGTGGCAAAAATCCACCGTATTCAGTTGAGGATATTAGAAAAATGATTGCCAACTGTTCAGTCTGTTTACAAGTAAAGTCTCGAGTTTCAAAAATAAAGGAACATTAAAAAAAAGCAGCAGTTCCATTTGAAAGATTATCATTGGATTTTAAAAAACCATTACCAAGTTCGACAAACAATAAATTTATATTCACTATAATCGATGAATACTCCCGATTTCCTTTTGCTTTTCCCTGCCCTGATGTTTCAGCAGCTTCTGTTAAGAAGCACTTGACAACTATTTGTAATGCCAAATTTTAGACACTCAAATTGTGGATCTGCTTTCATGTCTTCAGAATTGAAGAACTTTTTGCAAGAGCGAGGAATAGCTACCAGTAGAACTACCAGTTACAATCCAGAAGGAAATGGGCAAATAGAGAGAATAATGGTACAATTTGGAGAACAGTTCAATTAGCGCTGAAATCGCAAAACTTGAATGAGTCCAGATGGGAATCTGTTCTGGATGAATCATTACATTGCATCAGATCTCTCCTCTGCACAGCAACGAATATCACTCCACATGAAAGAATGTTTCATCATAATAGAAAATCTACTACAGGCGACTCATTGCCATCTTGGCTGACTTCTCCAGGAAAAATTTTGATGCAGAAGCATATTTCGCACAAGCAAATATGATCATTTAGTTGAGGAAGTTGAGCTGATAGAATCAAATCCGCATTATTCGTTTGCAGACTGAAAAATGGGAAAGAAATATCTGTTTCAAACAAGCATTTATCATCGAATAGTAAAGAACAAGTATCGGATGAAAATGAGGAAATCATTCAAACTCAGTTAAATATACTTAAACCAGTCCAGTCAATAGCAGATCATCTTAAATCAAAATGAAATAGAATTGAATCGGCCGCTACTGACTCGTTCATATAGCAACTCCAAGAGCAACTCTCAAGCTTCTCCTTCAACACCATACAATATAGAGACACATCCGAATAGAGATCGTCGATTACAGCATTGACCTCCTCAGACCTCCTATTGTGAAAGCAAGGATATCCTTTGGCTTAGAATCAGAATTAGTCTTATAAACAATCTCTCAAGATGAGAAAATGGTGCACAAAATCGCAAAATTGTCTGATGACTAGAAAACTATACCACACAATAGTTAAGCCAATCCAGAATTAGCGGAAGCGATTTATCTAGACAGTTCTAGAAGCAGCAAAGCTCATAAATCGAAGTCCGCCATCAAGGGGAAAAAAACAGTGATGAATTTGACGCCAGTGTGTCAAGAACCAGTTATTGGTGGATAATTGAACTCGGTTAAGGTATTAGGATAATTATTGGAATGCAAGTCGATACTGTCAGTAAGTCAGCAAGTTGTGATTAGTTAAGCTTGAGATAGTATTTTAACGAAGTTGTGATAATGAAGAAGTAAAGTTCAATTATCTATATGAAACATGGCAGGAAACTACTTTTGGTAGAGTTTTACCATGAAAGGATTTAGAGTAGAGTAGGTACTAAAAAATCAACACATAAGCGAGGGATGTCCCACCTACTAAATTTTGTACACCTACTGTATTTGCTGCATTGATTGCATCAAAGATGATAGTTGACTGCATTGACTTTTGAGCAATTTTTAACAAGATTGCAGACTCCACTTGCAGCGACTGCTTACGACTTTTCGTGAGTGTATATGGAATGTACGCTAACTGCATGTGACTGTACCTCAGACTACACAGAGCAAGGCACAGAGTTTATAATGATTGCAAGCGACTGCATTCGACTGTATTATGACTGCATGACTCCATGTATTCATTAACTGCATGGGAATGTATGGACTGTAGAAGAATGTATGGACTGCATATACATGAATGTATGATATTTGTACATTTACTGCACGAGTGAAACACCCCTCGCATATAAGTATTAATCAGGCAAAATCAGCAGAATATAAAAGTTAAAAACATAAATAAGAAAAGGTAGAAAGCACTTTTGTGCTGATATAGTCTAAACACACAATTTTGAAGATATCAAGCAAACAAGTTGAAGATAAGATTTTTTTTGTCGTCAAGTAATGAGGAATGTTATAATCTAGCTTAACAATGTCGTTTTTTCCCAACACAAAAGAAAGTTGGACATAAATAAAGAAAAATAAGAAATCTCTCTTACTTTGTAATATTCCACTCCTGTTTTCTTAAATAATTCTTGCAGGCTCACAAATTCTGGAGGATTTTTGTGGTTCTCTGCCTTCTCATTGCTTCCTGCATTATCCATGTACCAAGCTTGGACCATGTTTCTAAATTACTATTATCACCAGAGTATCGGTATCTTGTTATTTGGATCCTAAAGCACTTGTTGATACTATGACCTTATTTTATGTGAAGTTTGATTGTGGTACTGCGACTGCGATAAATAAAAATTAATTTAAAAATTAAAGATAACCACAGCTGAGTCCCAGTGAGCCTTGGTTCGAAATTGCGATGTTGCCAGATAAAATATTTTTTCTTTTAACGAACCTTGGGCCAAACTGGCAATAATATTAAAATAATTTGGTGGAAATTAATAAAACCTCGAATAAAATAATAATACTCTAATTTAATATACGCAATACCTACATAATATTTACATGCTCATGAAAAATAATTATTATTGTTGAAACTGTGTCTATAATTATTCTAATCTATGCTTTATAATATATTTTATATTTTCAGAAGCTGTGTTTTCAGCAGGCTTTATTCCTGTTTGGCTTGGTCATCATAAGCACCATTGTAAAGTCTTCTCATGTAATCTTTTCTGCAGTCCAATTCATCGTTTGGTCTTTTAAATGCCTTGTATCCATAGTCCTTGAGGAATCTTACACCTTTGTAAGTATCCTAAAAAAGACAGTGACAATTGCAAAGCTATTTAAATAAGAGAACATTCTGATATGTATAATGTTCCTTTCTTGTATAATGTCTTTATTATCAGTTAGTTTTAATAAATATTATTCATTCTTACCTTGTCTTCGACGATAAATCGATGATAACATCCTCCAGGTATCACGATGAGATCACCAGGAATCAGTTCGATTCTGAGCCATTCATCGTATTTGTCTCGAATGTCAAAAAAGCCACAGCCTGCTAAGACCAAACGAAGCTCGTCGTGTTCGTGAAAATGTTCCGAAATGTGTTCCAACAAGTCATTATCATCCAGATTTTCGATTTTGTTGATGTTATGATTGTCTCTTTGCTCCATCAGGTTTTTGAGGAGTGCATCAGCTTCATAGTTGTTGATTTCGATCTGGGATTTACAATAAATTTGTATGCAATGTACAGTTTTGAGAGTATTTTTTTGTCATATACATATATATTTATGCCTAAATTTATGTATCAATAAATATACAGGGTTTTATAATTGGTAGGTAGGTATATAATTCGATACATTTCTTTGGAGATGTGATAGGGGATGAGGTAAGGAGTAAATTTAATCGTAACATGCTTTATGCAAAACTCAATAGTTTTTGAGATATTTCTACTGTTTTTCTTAAAAACATAAACCTAATATGCTTTAAAATTGATTAGCACAAAATCTACCATACATTTCTTCAAGTTTTCTACTGGATTACTTGCTCAACATTATGGTCTTATGTTGTAATGCGAGTAATAAAAAATAATCGGAAATATTTCCCTCATCCTTCGTGGGAAAATTTTAGATAAAATCTCTGAACCGATAAGAAATTATACCATATTTTTAAAAATTATTTTTCAAGAGATTTTATTTAAAATTTTCCTATGTAGGAAATGTTTCCAGATATTTTTTATCCCAAACATAAGACCATAGTGTTGGGCAAGTAATCCAGTAGAAAACTTGAAAAAATAAATGTACGGTAGATTTTATGCTAATCAATTTTTAAATCATTAGGTCTATGTTTTAAAGAAATACGGAAATATCTCAAAAACTATTGAGTTTTGTATGAAGCATGTTATGGTTAAATTTACTCCTTACCTCATCCCCTATCACATCTCTGTATATCATCATACCTACCTACTTTGTATGATGTCCGAAAGTGAAAAATAGTTAGGTCAGCCCTTTTCTATAATTCAAGTAAATAATTTTTAGCAAAATTCAAGGATAGGGAATTTCAAAATATTGCATGACAAGATATTTTTATATTACATACATTTCATTAGATTGTTAATCGTTTTGAATAGGTAAACAAATAGCTGGATACCTATATAGACTGAAAAATTAAGATTTTTTTTTCATAATAAATATAACAGAACACACGCTAAAGAACCCCGCACATTTCTTATATGGATTGGAATTTCTGACCGCGGTCAAATTTAACCAAATTTTAGTATGTCATAGATCTCACCTTTCTGATCAATAACTACTATGGACACAACTTAATCCTATGACGTCAGTCCTGCCACCTGAGCGTGAGGATACCTCTGTCCATCCTCCTGGTATATTATTAGGTGACAGGTAGATGTAAATGCATATATTTACATTTCTTGGATATAAAGCTGCATTTTAAAAACTAGTCATAGAATTAACTAATTGTGCCCATGGTAGGTAAGTATATTTATAGTATAGTCTATAACATACTAAAATTTGGTTAAATTTGACCGCAGTCAGAAATCCCATAAGAAGTGTGTGGGGTCCTTTGATATAATTTTATTTTAAATCCCTTTTTTCATAGACCTATCTACCAATTAAAATAAGCTCTCTACCATAATATAAATGATGCTACATAGGTATTAGAAATAAGATGGTATATACTTAATAATAAATATTGTAGAAGTCTCTGAGCAAAATATCAATACAAAACCATCAGAAGAGATTTTTTTTTTTTGAACATTTCAAACATTCTTACCTGATAGTATTCAACTCCGCTAGTCTTGTACAACTCCTCCAAAGTAACAAATTTAGGCGTCAGAGCCTTTTCTTCGGATAACAACCAAGCCCGAACCATTTTAATTGAACCCCAACAACAAGAAGATGATAAGATTTAAAAATGTGATTTAATCAGGTGATAAAATTGGAAAAAACCAGGTATGATGCAGCATTTCGCACGCCCCGAACAAACTAATCATGGGATAATATAATGGGCAAATATTATATGGCTATAAACATGATGTCGTCAAATATTTACCAATTTAACCACGATCGGCTGTAAACAAGGTTGAGGTTGGTGCGATCCGAAAAGCTTTAATAAAGGCGTTGGCTTAAATATAATGATATAGTTGATATAAAAAATCTGTTGAGATTATTAACACGTTAGCTATCTACAAAGGAAGAAGTTTTTTCCATCTCACTCAGGACGCTCAGTCCAAATAGTTACCTACTTATAACAACTTATAGTGTGCGTAATGGAGAATGCAAAAAAGGTCAATTTTCCGAATAGATCATTCTGCCAAATTATACAGAGAACATAATGTGGTGGAAGATTCCACAACTCTTAACTCATTAAAAAAAAAACAGAAGAAGAATCAATTCACCAAAGCAGAAACCTAAACGTAGATAATAGTAATTATTTTCCTATAGATAGAGGTACCTATGTTTCTAAAAATTTTAGAGGTAGGTATATTAACAAACAAGCAGATCCAAAGCTATATTCTTCAATTAAATTAGACAAACATAACTTTCTTATTAAACCAGTTGTATCGTTTATGTCAACTCCTATTAGTAAACTTTCTAAAAGACGACTTAGGTAACACTTTATTACAAAAATATTGCAGCTTCAAGTTCAGCATGAAAAATTCTAAGGAATAATTTCAAAGAGGGCTAAGCAGCTCCTCTGATGTTAAAAACTTATTTCCAAGTGTCCCACTTAATGAAATAAACAAAGAAGAAATAGTGTTTCTCGAGTCTCCATGTGCCCAAAATCAATTTTGATGATTTTTGCCATTTGAGTCACATAAAAAAAAGATTAATTAACTGCATGGAATTTCCTCATTTAAAAACAATTGTTTAAATATTCTACCACAAGTCCTCTGCGAAGAAAAACAACTTACTGTTGTGTAAGAAGAAGCTCGATCAGTTCCAGCGCAATTGGCAAGATGCCAAAAAAAAAAACAATTTTTGATCCTGATGACCACGCCAAAATTCCAGAAAAATCCATCTATTTTCCTGAAGCTAATAAGGAGCAGTAGCTAGAGGATGAGTTGAAAGCTGCGACACTACACAGCGTACAAAACATCTCAGTTCCTTTATCTATATTTCATTCATTAGAACAAGACATGGACATGTTAATTGACAGCCCCGTATCTGATGACGACGGAAGAAATAATCAGGAGAAAATGGATGTTGCTGACACTGATTTTCCTCTACTCAAAAGACCAAAAAACACTGCTCCCCTCAACTTTCCTCACAGCACCAACAAAAAATTAGTGACCTATCTTAAGAACAAAAATGCAATCCCCCTAAAAAAACTGTTTCAATCATCCTAAGGAATGTTTTGAGACCAAAACAACTTCTAACTAAATTAACTGACATGAAATTATTTTTTACAGACCCTAAAAAAGACAGACTGGAGATTTCTATCACCCCTGACTCTTCTGATGACCATAGCGGCATCACCAAATTTCTCAAAGAACAAAAATTTGAATTTCACTCGTACTTTCTTCCCGACGAGAAAATGATAAATGTGGTAATAAAAGGACTGGACAGAAATCAAGACCTAGAGGAAGTCCAAGAAGAACTTGAATCTTTGGGTTTCTCCCCTAGAGAAATCCTAAAATTCAAGCCCTCTCAGAGAAGCGGCCTCAAAGGCTCTTCTCTGATAAAACTCCTGGTTTTCCTAGATGAAGCTGACAAATTTTACCAAATTAAAAGGATTAGCTACATGCTGGTGACTATTGAAGCCCAGCATAGTAAGGACAAAAAGTATGTTCCTCAATGTCACAATTGTCAGCAGTTTGGGATACTTTGTCAACCCTACATGGGACCACGGGCTATAACCAAATTCAAAACACTGAACCACGGGTTATAACAAATAACTGCAACTAAGCAAGAAAACACAAATTATCCTAATCATAGTCAGCAAATATTGGATATAAAAGCCCGGGCCACACTATGGCAAATTAGTCGTGTCTCAGCGCTTCACTGCAATCGGTAGGTGTTTAGAGACGACTCAAAGTTGGGGAACTATCTGGACTGATAAAGTTAATACGCTATCGTATCTCTATCAGGGCAGGTCCTGTAACAATATATATTGTTACAGGACGGAGATTACGGAAACTTGAATATTTTAGTTATTACCACATCATCGTCATCTGGGACCAGATAACGTCCCTTCAGGTGGTGAGGCTCAAAAAAGGGCGGACAGTCAAACGTCGGGTATACCCCTGCAAAGCTAAATAACCAAACCAGCCCTCCAGGAAAATCTAGAAAGCCTTTTCACTGTAGGTCAAAGCCTGGGTCGTCAGAGAGTATCTGCCCTGATAGAGATACGATAGCGTATTAACTTTATCAGTCCAGATAGTTCCCCAACTTTGAGTCGTCTCTAAACACCTACTGATTGCAGCGAAGCGCTGAGACACTACTAATTTGCCATAGTGTGGCCCGGGCTTTTATATCCAATATTTGCTGACTATGATTAGGATAATTTGTGTTTTCTTGCTTAGTTGCAGTTATTTGTTATAACCCGTGGTTCAGTGTTTTGAATTTGGTTATAGCCCGTGGTCCCATGTAGGGTTGACACTATGCAAAGCCTAAATGTCATCGGTGTGCTGGCAATCATTTCTACAGTTAAATGTACTGTGAGGCATCAGCCTACAATCAGGTTGCCAGTGCAGACGCCCGCGAGCCATCTGGGGACAGAGTGTCCGACAGAAGGCAATAGCCCGTTTGGCTTGACTGCTGGCATTAAGTCCTGGAAGAGACTAGTAGTCCGTAACACAAAACGTCCCTAATGAGCAGCGAGCGCGAGACGAGCCCTCGACGCAGAGCAAGGCGTCCAGGTCGTGAAACGCCATCTTAGAACAACCGTCCTGAAAATCTAAACGTGTCATTTAATTCAAAATAAAATACTAGTGAAATCGAGTCCTGTTTAATTCCCAGTTACCACATGTACCAAAGACAATAACTCTGTCCCTACATGTGTCAACTGCGGAGGTGCACATCCGGCCATATTTACAGGAATTGTCCAAAGTGTATCTAAATAGAAATGTCCCTTCCATCCCCAAACCAACACCAGCTCAAATCTCTTCCCCCCTAAGGGACACAGCAGCTCTATTCAAAACTATGTCTGTGAGCTACGCTCAAAAAATTAAATTGAATACCGATAATAATAATAACAACATCAATACAAATTCAAACCTCCCTCAACAACAACTAAACTTGACAAATAACTGCATTTTGAGTCTCTTGACCCTTTCAGAGCAAGAGATTTCAAATAAACTAAACAGACTGGCTGAGATAATTAACAATCATCCCAGTCTCAAACTTTTAACGCAACTTAACTAGACAATGGGTGATACACCTAGACCGACGCGACTTTACATAATCTCTTGAAATGCAAACTCTATCTTTCCTAAAAGATACGAGTTTGCATCCTTCTTACATGAGGATAATGTTGACATATATAGCATTAGTCCAGGAGACTATGCTCAGACCACATACAATTTACAACGTACTAACTATGCTACATACAGAAATGACAGACCTAACCGTGCTGGTGGTGGTACTGCCATTTTCGTTAAAAACAATATCCCTCATGACACTATTGCCACTCCTGCCTCTGACAATGTGGAATACACTGGTGTGGTAGTCCACCTTGCAGATGGCCCGCTCAATATTTTCAGCGTTTATAAGCCTCCTCCTAAACGCTTAACTCGTGATGATATGAACCTCTTCTTCGGTTCTGATGCTCCGACCTAAAAAACTGCAAAAACAGAACCTGGGGGTGTCGCGCTAATAATACAGCAGGTACTTTTCTGCTTCAATTCACCCAGGACAATTTCATCTCAGTTCATGCTCCCTTAGAGCCAATTCATTTTCATAATATTACCCCTTACATTCTAGACCTTGCTCTATCCAAAAATGCCCTTATAACATTGGTATTGGCAATATTAACGATCTCAGCTCCGACCAGACTCCAATTAGTCTTAAAGTTGGTGGTCAGGTCCAAGATGTAAATACTCACCATACTTTTTCCTTAAACAATTATCCGCAATTCAAATCACATCTTGAAGCCAATCATATCCCACCAGTCATGTTAGACACGACTCTGGACATTGACAGTGCTATTAACACATTTACTCAAGAAGTAAATGACTGTTTAAATAGCACCAAAATTACTATAACTACTAAACAAAATAACCCATGCTCACTACCACATCACATACGCCAGCAAATTAAGTTGAGAAATCGACTTAAAAGACTAGACACCTAAACATCAAACGTGAATGTAACAGACTTACGAACTTAATTAAAACTTTAATTAAGGAACACAAAAACGAAAAATGGGGTAATTTATTAGCTGACTTGTCCCCTGATGATAATTCTCTATGGAAAATAATTCGTTCTCTTTTAAGTAAGAAAAATAGGCATATTCCCACCATTCATGGTAGAGCTGGTTTGGTGCATACTAATCAAGAAAAAGCAAGTGCTTTTGCTGACTCACTTCAATCACAATTTTCACTCAATGAAGACCCTGGTGATGATATTGATCATGAAGAGGACGTAGACAGGCGATATAGAGAAATCTGTAGGCTGCCTATTCCTCCGAATGATACAATAACTCCTGTCTCCACCGACGACGTAAAATTTTTCATCACCCGCTCAGTCAACAGAAAAGCCTCTGGTTACAATGATATTAGTAATAAAGTCCTCAAAAACCTTCCGGACAACGTCGTCGCGACATTTACTCGCATTCTAAATGAATGGCCTCAATCTCAATTACTTTCCTAAAGCATGGAAACTGGCAACCGTGATACTAATCCTAAACCCGGATAAAGATCATCAATTTCCACAAAATTACCGTCCAATCAGTCTTCTGTCTTCACTTTCTAAAATTCTTGAGAAAATAATTCACGAAAAACTTAAATCCTTACATTATATTGACAGAATTCTGCCTGATG